AAAAAAAAAAGAACTTATCTTAGAGCTTAAAGCTCAAATTGATCAAGTGTGGGTAAAAAGAAAGATTAAAAAATTATATAAAGAGTAAAACATGCCAAAACCCTTACAGTTGTCTATACAGCTAAATAAATAAATTTATTATTTCAATTCTTACCTAAAACATCTAGGAAGAAAATGCACAGATACCTATTAGATACCACTTTTTACACCGAAAGAAGACATAGTAATGTGCTTTGCATCTTATTTTTTCCCATAATAATGACTGTGTTTTTTGTCTACCTTATCTTACAAAATCCACCTTGGGATAACTGGAGTCTATGTATAAGTAGCTGGTCAGGATTAGAGATTCAATTGGAGGATATGAACAAGAAAAAAGTCATCTTGTTCACTCAAGGAACAAATTCACAGGTTTGGCCTTATCACCACAGTGTTCCAATCAAGTAGGCAATGTGTGAAATCACAGCTGACTTGGTTGTCTTGGAAACTGACTATGAATTCACATAAGGTCTCCAATTCTTTCATTACCGCCTATATTCTAGGCAGCACACATCTTCAGGATATTTCAGGATAGGATTAGGAGATAACAATTAAATGAATTTTCCATTATATCTCAAATTACCACTGACAGTAATATCAAACAAGTAAATGCTACTTAACTTCTTAGATTATACACAAAATGATATTTGTTTATTCATCTTTTCTTTCTTGGCTGCTTTCTAGTTTTGCATAAAATCCATGTGGCTTTACAGAAAGCGGGGGAAATGGCATTATTTCTTACCAGACCCATGAGAAGGCCAAAAATCAAGGTGGCCATGATGAAAAAGACATAAGAACACCAAGCAGGAATTCCAAGGGTCACTGTGAAATAGTTGTGAAGATGCTGTAATCAGAAGAAAAATATAAAATAAAATCTTTACTTATTACCAAATATGTTTGAATCTCCCTCCCTAGCTATAACTCAAGTCTGCAAATTATTTCTACATGTATGAGCTCCCACAAAGGTCATCCAGTCTGCATCTATATGATTCTTCAAGAACAAGTCAGATTTTACAACATTGAAAATCTGAGAGTAATAATCAAGGTCATATCTTGACCTTTGTTCTCAAGTTATACTTCTTTGAGTTCTATTTCTTTGTTCATGATCTGGTAGAACTCTGGCAGAATTGTTTTTCTAGCCCCTCCTTTCATCATTTCATAGATTCTTTTTGGTCATTCTCCCCTAATAATTCTGTATCTCAATTTTTACTCATCATATGGCATCCATAAAAAATTAAACTTCTTGGGCCTTTGTCAATTTTTAAGTGAAACTAAATTACTACTTACAGAGTATCAACCATTTAAAATGTCTCCATACTTCCTTTTTTCTAATCAGACCATTACTCTACCCCACCCATCCTCAACAACTTTCGTAATTCACCATAAAACTGAAAATATAATATTACACAGAAAAAAAATTTTCCAGTTAATTCATTATGAACAAATGAGATTCCATCAGTCTTTTGAGTAGAGCTCACATCCCTTCATTCTTACTGTTCCCTCAGACCCTATTTGATGTCAGATACTTTAAAAAATCAGTGAAGAGATACCATTTTTGCTAGAAATTATTTACATGCTAAGTCATACAAATATGAACCTACTAGTTTGGTGCCAAGGCCCTTTTAAATGTGGGCTTGTAGGAGCCATGCTTCACCATGATGGCTTAGTGATCACCTGTGTTAGGCCCTTCCAGCTCCAAAGCAGTCATTCACTACAATCCAAGCACTTACCGGACACAAGATGAAATGGCCCCGAGCTAAATGCCACAAGCAAGCAGAGGTAACAACTGAATGACTTGCCTAGAGCTGATGAGGTGGGTGACAATGAGTCCTAGTTTCTATTTTAATATTTCTCAAAATCCAAATTACTCAAGTATCTCCTGTTGGCTTTTCCATTTATAAATGCCAATACAATTAAATAATATATTTTATTCTGGCTTAATTCTGAATAAACCAACAAACAAAAAAGCTAGTTAATTGGTCTAGAATAATCTGAGATCTCCTCTCTCCCAATTTCTCATTCATTAGAAGAGATAGAGCTAAAGACCCAGCGAGTAATTTACATACTGATACGTGCAAAGTGTTCAATAAATACTTATTGAACAAAAAAAAGATACTAGCAAATCCTTCAATTATTCATAGGAAATGCAAACAACTTGTGATTTGTAAAACTATCATCTGTGCTCTGTTGATGGAACTGGTCATCATTTTATCTTCAGCCGAGGCAATTGTTTATTAAAAATAATCTGGGGTGTCTGGGTGGCTCAGTTGGTTAAGTGTCAGACTTTAGCTCAGGTCATGATTTCACGGTTCATGAGTTCAAGCCCCGCATCGGGCTCTGTGCTGACAGCTCAGAGCCTAGAGTTTGCTTCAGATTCTGTGTCTCCCTCTCTCTCTGCCCCTCCCCTGCTCACGCTCTGTCTCTCTCTCAAAAATAAATAAACAATTAAACAAATTAAAAAAAAAAAAAATAATCGAACATTGCGCTGCCCAGTAGGCAAAAGAGGTATTTGGGATAGCAAAAGCTTGCTTTATTCAAATTCTGTTCAGTGTAAGTTCTAAAATGTATCATACAAATTCTGTGTTTTCATAGTTTATGCTTTTCTTGATGACTCAGTGCCACTATCAGGATTAAACTCTGAAATGTGCCGAAGAATTAAAAGATATGGAAAGTCAGTCTGGCTTTGTGCTGACCCATAGAAATACGCATTCTGGAGCTTGCTTTATAAATAATATCTGTCTATATGGCTGGAATGAATAATGTCCAGTTATTAGTCCTTCTAGACTTTAGGCCCTTAGGCCCTTTCTGCAAAATAAATGATTAAAGTAACCTTCAAGAAATTTTCTAAGTTATTTTCTAGAATTAAGTAAATTGTTTGCCTTTGAATTATTGCATTCCAAGTCAGACATTTCTTAGTGCATTCAAAATATCTTCTTATTGTAGCAAGCTCTGCTTCAATTTTCTTGTATCAACTTACCATTTAAAGGATTTATTTGAGCCTCACTTACTCTTTAAAGGATTTATTTGAGCCTCTTAGAGAAACCCTGCCATCTTGTGGTCTTTTAGTTGATTAATATTAAAGCCTCATTAACCAAGTTGTGTTTTCACAATTGCAGACATAAATCCTTATCTGTTTACTTTGTCTGAGTCCACAAATAGTTTTAGAACACCTTAAGAGTGTTGGGGTTTGTGGTATCGAGTACTTGAAATTTTGATATATATATATTTTCAAGTAATAACTGATTCAAACTGATCTCAGTTTTAGATTCCTATATTTCTGTTTCTTTAATTGCCAAAGTGACAGTTTTCATTTGTGGAAAATATTGATCCTTGTTCAATATTATATCTCATTTTAAGGAAGCATCTTACTGTTTCTTTAAAAAGCACAAAAATAGGGGCGCCTGGGTGGCTCAGTCGGTTAAGCAGCCGACTTCGGCTCAGGTCATGATCTCGCGGTCCGTGAGTTCGAGCCCCACGTCAGGCTCTGTGTTGACAGCTCAGAGCCTGGAGGCTGTTTCAGATTCTGTGTCTCCCTCTCTCTGACCCTCCCCTGTTCATGTGCTGTCTCTCCCTGTCTCAAAAATAAATAAAACGTTAAAAAAAAAAAAAAAGCACAAAAATATCATCTAAAGGGCCTGATGACTTATACTGCACTATTGTAATAAATAACTGAATTAGAGCTAATTTTTGGCTAGATACAGATTTGAGAGGACTGATGAAGACACCATTACAGTAGAATAAATGAGAAGAACATTCTACCCTCTGGTCAGATGGATTTAAGGAATGGAGTAAGGCCAAGGCATCCATGGATCAGAGCTAGAGTCTTCCCTCTATAGAGATCTGTAACTGATCTGGGATCAGAACCACTGCAAGTCAGATTAGATACTCCCCAAGGGCACCCATCCAGCCTAGTGTTGCACAGTCTCATTCAGAGCTGGGCTGGCCCTGAATTACATGAGAACCTTTTGGATTTTGATCCCATCAATGTGGATATACTCTGAGGACATCTGGGACAAACCCAATATCCCTTTCAAACACAGATCAGAATCCGCAAAACATCTGCCCTACATGGGAGCAGCTCAGAAAGACTTTCTCTAGTAATGGCCAAGGATTCACTTCACCTGCGATGTTTTACTCTCACACTTGCAACAAGACACAATCTTGCAGCCTCTTGTAGGCATTGAGAGAGGTATTTTGTGGGTGTACACCATCCCACTATAATATGGTTCTAGATAACTTCACAAGGAAAAAAAAAAACCTCAAAACAGTAAGAGATGAGATGCCACTATCTAAAACACAGAGAAATGTTTTGAGAGCTTTAAAATATACTCTTGTTAAGTGTTGGTGTGGATGTGGAGAAAAAGAACCCTCAGGCACTGCTGGTATGAATGCAAACTGGTGCAGCCAACATGGAAAACAGTATGGAGGTTCCTCAAAAAGTTAAAAATAGAACTATCATGTGATCCAGTAATTCCACTACTGGGTATTTACTCAAAGAATATGAAAACACCAACTGGAAAAGATACATGTACCCTATGTTTTTTGCAGCATTATTTATAAGAGCCAAATTATGGAAGCAACCTGAGTTTCATCAACAGATGAGTGGATAAAGATGTGGTACATATGTACAATGGAATATTACTTAGCTATAAAAAATGAAATCTTGCCATTTGCAACAACATGGATGGATCTAGAGTGTAAAATGCTAAGTGAAATAAGTTATCAAAGACAAATTCATATGATTTCACTCATGTGGAATTTAAGAAACAATACAAAGAAAAAAAGACACAAACCAAAAAACATGTTCTTAACCATAAAGAACAAATTGATGGTTACCAGATGGGAGGTGGGTGGGGGATGGGTGAAATAGGTGAAGGGGATTAAGAGTTCACTTATCATGATGAGCACTGAGTAATATATAGAATGGCTGAGTCACTATATTGTACACTTGAAACTAATATAGCACTATTTGTTAATTACACTAGAATTAAAATTTTGGAAAAAGTAGTCCCACTTTGAAAAAAAAAAACACTCTCATTATTTTCCAGTCTAAATACTCATGGCCTTTAATTCTCATTGCGAGGGATTCATAGAGTATTAAATCTTCTCCATCATAGACTGTCCTCCCAAATACGCAGCATACCTTACTGCCTACATCCTTGCATAACAGCCATAACACTGAAGTAAGTTACATACTACATTAGCTCAGCAAGCAGCAAAAATTCACCAAATCAAATAATTACTGAAATGCATGCAAATGCTAAACCTAGTTCACAAACGTACACGTTGTACAACTGGCATACAATCCTATTTTAATCCTGTTATCAGCCTGGATTAAAACATAAATGAATAAAAAGATAAAGTATTCCTTATTGACTAGTCAGAGGTAAAAAGTAAAATCATGATGACAAATGATTAATGAATACAACTAACAAGAAACAGTTACCAAGTACTGACTACGTGCCAGGTTCTATGCTAAGCACTCAAAGTGTTCTAGTGACAACAGTTTATAGCAGGGGAAACTAATGGGTTCAGAGATACACACACAAGGTGGAGAACAATGAGTTGTTTCTCTGGAAGACAGAAAGCTAATACCTACCTGCACCACTGTCGCTAACTATGAAAAGAGATGAAAAGACAAAAGACTAGAAAGTCTCTTCATACATGTGTCACAGACAACAGCTCCGGGATTCCTAACCCTGACTGTGGCCCCAGACTCAGCGACAGTGCTTCCCAAGTTCAATCTCCTGTACATTGCTTTCATGACATTAGTCTCACCTTGTACTATCTTTTATATTTATTTGTTAATATTTTTCATTAAGTTGAGTGACTTTTTATAAGTTCAATAAAATTTCTTTGAAAATTTCAAAGAAATTTTATATTGCTACCAAAAATATATAATCAGTACCAATTCCATATCTAGAAAATGTCTATCCATTCTTTGAGAAATTCCTTGAGTTGTACATCTTCCAGGCTTCAGTGACTCTAATGAGGTAGGCAAATGTCAAGACTACATGTGAGGATAAGTGTTATAGTTAAAGTGGCGGTGACTTCTAGGAGTTTATATAAAAATTAAAATACATAGGTGGATACCATCATCACTGGATTGGAAAGACAATCTGAATTTTAGTGACTGGACAGAACATTTGAGATTATCAACCACCCCTCCCCCCACTTTTCCCACATTGTTGTACAAGTTACCTACCAAGCATCCCTCAGATTCCAGAGGACAGCAGGAAGCTCACAGGATCTGGCTTATAACACAATTCAAGGAACTTCTTCACTCAAGCGTTTATTCAAGCAAGAACATATGGGAGGTTGGTGTAGAGTTAAGAAAGCCAAATGTAGAGCACAAGAAAACCCTTGAGTTCATAGGAACTCAGCTGTGTGGGGGTCTCCTCACCAAGCAATTCTGACATCCTGAGGACAAGTTCTTATTTCCAAATTGCCAGACCCAGCAGGCTGGCTTCACTACTAAAGCAGAAACTCAAGGACTTTAAGGATTATTAAGTAGGCTCTGATCTTATAGATGCTGCTCTTTTTATTTTATCTTTTCATTACAGAAAAAAAGACAAATACAGAGCAAGATAAGAGATTTTTAAAAACTCAGCCATAATTTCAGTATCAAAGATAGCTACTGTTGATATTTGATTAATCTCCTTCCAAGCATTTTCCTATATACACATAAAAACTCCATATGAATTTAACCTTACACAAACTGTTTTGTTATCTTTTCCCCCACTTAATAACATAAAATCTTCCCTATAGAAGTATTTTTTTAATGCTTATTTAATTTATTTTGAGAGAGAGAGGGAAAGCATGAAAGAGAGTACTTGCACGTGAGTGTGAGCAGGGGAGGGGCACATACAGAGGGAGAGAGAAAATCCCAAGCAGGCTCCACGCTGTCAGCACAGAGACTGATGTGAGTCTCAAACACACTAACTGCGAGATTATGACCTGTGCTGATATCAAGAGTTGGAGCCTTAACCAACTGAGCCATCCAGGCGCTTTGCAACACCCCCATAAAAGTATTATACATAACCAGCCACTCATGCATGGTTAGACTGTTGCTGAAGAAACACTGACTTCTATCTGTCTATGTAGCCACAACATCTCAGTAGGATAAGAGATTGTGGGTGGGCATCAACAATCTTGTCTCACTGGTATTAGCCACTCTGTGTCTTTCCTTCTTCCCTGTTTTGATCTTCTTCCTTAAAGACTTTATACTCATTTAGTTCTTGCCATTCCCTCTCCCTCTCCCTCCCTCTCTCTCTACATGCTGTTTCTTTTGTTCACTGTTAATATGATTGCACTATAGTTTTATATTGTCTAGACATGAGTTATAAACAGATTATGTTCCCCACAATTATACATTCAACTGATGAAAGGTTCTTGGGCAAGGGAGATGTGCTGGCTAAATAAACTGAGTGGGCTGGGTAATCGGCTAGGAGGACTGGCTCAGTAAGTGGTTCTTTAGGTGTAAAAAGGCAAGACTACACCTGAAGGCTGAGGTGGGAACCAGGCTGAAAATCATACCCTCTTTGAATAAGAGGGCCAGGGCTCAATTCTGGAAACAGGTTGTGAGAGCCCTTCCCAGAGATTTCATGCAAGTCTGGAAACTTGTTTCTAAGAAAAGAAGAAACTACAAAAGTTGCCAAGAGACTTGAAAAACCTAGATGCTGATACAGAGGGTGATACATGATTTCTATCACAGATTTTTAAGGTAATGAATACACATACGAAGAAATCAAAATAATCTACAGACTTACCATTTATGTTCTTTTAGTCACGTTAACCCCCAACATGCACGCATGCGCACACACCGCACCCCCCCCCCACACACACACACAAAATCTTTAGTCAGGGCAAATACATTACTGATGCTAATAAAATAAATGGACTAAATTTATCATTTAAAAGAATTACTTGTTGCTGTATGCATTTTACAAGACTCATTCAAAACAGAAAAAGCAATTAAAAAGGTTGAGAGTGGAAAACATTCCAGGCAAATACTGACAAAAAAGAAAAAAAATATGGTATTAATATTAGATAAAAGTGATTCTGTAGAGTGTAAAATGTAACTGTGTGTCAAATTTAACAGTTTATTTTATCAAACTATCTTCTTTTGTCCCCTTTTAAATATTGGGAAATATATTCTAAATATACATGTATATATAAATATCATATATACTCTACATCTCAATCACTAAGAAGAACATCTCAATTGGTTATTCAGAGACAGATATATTCTATTCTCCAAAATGCCCCCCCTCTTTTTTTTTTTTTGCAGTCTGACACATCCACACAGAATCTTTCCATGCTTGCCCATGGCTGGAGCACTGTGTGTATGAAGATAAAATACCCACTCCTGGCCTTGACACAACAATGCCACATATTGTAATTATTTGCATGATAAAATGAAAAACTGTAACTCCTTACCTAAATTCTTGCTTATCAAAGCACAAATGCCAAGTTATATGAGGTCAAAGTAATTGTTTTTCTTCCCAGATACTGTATTTGACAATAAACTTATTTTACATTTTTCTTCCCAGATACTGTATTTGAAAATACATCTCTTTTACAATGTGTGAAATTGATGACCAACTTCCATCCAAGCTCTTCTTAAACAACTAAACAAATTCATCTCTTGACCTGCACTTATTATAGGTTCAATGCCAAGATCCTGCTCTCATGATTCCTGAAATCCATCTATTATGAGTATCCTGTTCAATTAGACATTATGAGGCTACAACGTTCTCAGATGGCTATCAGAATATATGACTCTGACAACCTTCAGTGTCAACATACTGCAAAAGGTAAAATCCTTACTCTCAATTCCCAGTTGGCAATTCATAATTCTCAAATCCTGAATAAACTTCTCACCAGTGTTAAGAAAATAGTAGAAGGAAACCATATAAAACTCATGCTATCTGGTGAGAGGGAAAATCCAAGTTATTATTTAATATCATACACAAATGCCAAAAAATAATTAACAAACATTAACTAAGAAATACTGAATCCAAGTGACAAACTTAATTTCTGTTTTAAAAAAATTCTGAAGTTACTATTCTACCTCACAAGGCAGAAAATAAAATATAACTGAAAAACTAGGATGCAAAAGGTTGTTCTTAAATTTCCTAAACATACACTGATGTGCATGAGAAACAGAAGAGTCTTATGAACTTCTTGAATGTTAAGTTCCAAATATGACATCATGACTTAGAATCATAGTTTGAAAAGACAAATATAAGTACACACTTCTAAAGATTTTTTTTGAAATACTTTAAGGATATATATTTAATTCCACAGCAAGTTTGTTAAATTTGGCAAAATTTAGCCCATCCTACACATAAATGGAAGTAAAAGATTACGTAACACATTCAAGATTATATAATTGTTCAAATTTTAACCTAAATAACAGTTCTAACTCACTGAAATGACTCAGGGAAATGATAAAATCACATATACAAGGGACACTCGAAGTTCTTCTTAAATTGTCACAGAGTAAATATCTTAGGCTTGTGGGACACATGGTCTCTGTCACAACTACTCAACTCTACCATCATAGCATGAAAGTAGTTCTAGACAACAGGCAATGAATGAAAACTAATGTGTTCTAATAAAAGTTATCAAAACAGGTGGCCAGTCCCCAAGTTATAGTTTGCTGATCCCTGACACACAGAATAGGACTTTGACACAGTAGTTACAGGTCCGTGTTCAATTTATGCCCTTCTACACAGAGACACGTTTCTACTGGGGACTCCACATGAGAGCAATTGTGTGCCGTAAGGAGAAAAGTGAATTACAAAAGTACTTATAAGTGTTTACTTTCCTATTGCTTAGAAGCTACATTCTTACTCCTTAAAAACCTCTCTGCCAAGATAGTCACAAAAGGTATATTTAATTACTCACCCATATCTTGCCAGAGATGCTAAATAGACCAGCCATTCCAGACATCCTAAAAAAAAAAATTAATAAATGAAGAGAAGGAGAACCACTGGTGATATATACTATGATGAAACAAACCAAAACAAAGCTAGGTCATAAGGATCTGCCCCTCCACTTTTTGCAATATGTTGTCCTCTCTCCTGGATTAACTTCCATTCCCATAAAGCTTAGATTTCATAGCCTTCATTTCAATTCCTCTGCTATAAATACATTCAACCCCCCTGACCCTTTCTCCCACCATTATACATACCTGGCAAAAACTCCAACCCTGGGCAGCTGCGTATCTCTGGAGAAAACCACATGACTGACTGACTGCTCCCCCTTCCCAGTCACAAACCTCAGGAAGCACTCAATACTGCATTGTCTTAGGCTCCACTTGAGATGATAGCTCATGTCTTTTCCCTCTCTTCAGACCTTCCACACCCTCCCCTTTCCATGCATGCTTAGCTAACAAATACTCCTTGTATGTCCCTGTGAAATCAGAAGCCATTGTGTGACCTCTCTTATCTTCCCACCATCAAATCTGAGCCTGGTGTACACCTGATCTACCTCCTCCTGTTACAGCAGAGAAAGTTGATCTGCCCTACCACAGTCTAATTCCTCGATTTGCGTCTTGGATCTTTAGTCTTGGACACTTTAGTCTTGTTAATGACTTGGTTCTTTCTGCCACTCCTTTTCCTACATTAGTAATTTCTCCCTTTCTGCTGGATCATTTTCTTTTGCATGAAAACATGTTCTATCCCCTCTTTTCTTTTAAAAAGCACATTCTTAGACTTCACAAACGTCTCCAAAGAGTAGCTATGCTTACTGTTTCTTCTCCTCACCATACCTTTAACCATCACATCTGGCTTCCATCCTCACTACTACATTATCACTACTTGTCAAGACCATGATGACTTTGCACTGCTTTACCAAACATCCATGTCTCGGACTCGATCTTTTACCCTTGGTAACACAGGACACAAGTGACTACTCCCTCTTTTTTGAGCACTCTTTGCTTAGCTTCTAGGAAATCGTACACCCTTAACTGTCTGCTGGCCTCATTGGTACTCATTTGCAGTTTCCTTTTGCTGACTTCTTCTCTACTCATCTTAATTTTGGGGTGTCTCCTGGCTCAGTCCCAAGCACTTTTCTTTTTACCTCTCTCTAGGTGACCCCCTCCCTTCTAAGGTTTAAATACCACCCACACACTTTGTTCCTCAATTCTCTATGGAGACCCATCTCTACACATTCAACCTGAGAGCTCTAGAAGGAAGTCTGCATCTCAAACTTATTTTAAATCCATCCATTCTCTCAATTCCCACTGCTGACACGCTGATAGGCACTACAACCATCCCTTGGCTGGACACTGCAACAGCCTTTAACTGTCTCCCCTCATCCATTTGTGCCCTTTCCAACCTCTCCTCCTAAGAGCCATCTTCTAATTGTATGCACTGATAACATCCAAGGTCCAAAATGAGACCCAGACCCATATGATCTGGCTCCTGCCTCTGTTTCTCGGTGTATACCACTCCTAATCCTTTTCCCTGTGCTCAACCTTGTTTCTGCTCCTCAGCACGATGAGCTCTTTCCAAATTGGGGTCTTTGGCCATGCTATACCCATTGTTGAGAATATTCCTACCCCTGCTCTTTACCCAGCTAGGTCATTCTATCCTTCAGATCTGCCTGCTACTCCACCTCTCATCCAATGGACGCCCATGCCCCCATAGTTCATCCCTGTCTTAGTAAGGGTTTGTTTTTAATAGCTCTTATCCAGACTAAGATTCTTTATATCCCTAGTTGTTTTTCTTAATATGTCTTACTTTAAGTTTCATAAGGAGAGCAGAGGGACCAACTCTGTCTTGCTCCCTGTTAAATATCTAGCACCTAGAATAGCATCTGTCATAAAATCAGTACTCAAATATTTGTAGAATGAAATGCCAAAGATGAACCGCTTTTACAGTAAGCTATGTATTTCTTGGGTATTTTATAAAATACTATTTCATGATTTATTCCTGAAATATTGCATGATTTGATTCTATTTCACCAGGAATATTCCCTATACTTGTGTAAACTAACATAATATTAACTGCAATTATCACAATTCATTCAAATTTAAAACCAACTGTGGAAAAAAGTTAGTATGGTCTGGCATTATGTACTTCACCAAGAATTATACAGTTTGCCATCATGAACAAAAGTTACCCCAGCAGTGTTACGCTAGGCAGCCAAAGACACCATAGGTTTTATTTACACATAGATACGATAGCTTCAGAAGAAAGAATGGTAAATGATATTCAATATCATATTTTGTAAAGACAAAACAGTTGATATGGCTTAGTGCAAAAGCTAGAGGAAAGGCTTTTGTAATCCACCTGAATCTGAATACTTAATTCCTAGTATACTAACAACTGGCTGAAACATATGTGGGTCATAAAACCAGTAACACAACACAGGCCAAGCATGGTCAGTATGTAGTTTGGGTAATCAGAAGTGAATATGAAGAAAAATGTAGACCTTGAATGCCTATGGACTGTTAACTTGATACCTCTGTTTTATAAAAACACCCTGTCATAAAAAAAAATAATAACAAGTTACGTCAGAGAAGCCGGGGATTTCCAACCAGTCAGAGGCTCAACTGATTGCCATTTCTTCTCTAAGATATAATTCTGCAGGTCTTCATAGATTCCTGGGCCACGGTAACGGCGAAATATTCCATCCTTTGCACTATAAATTATAAAAACAAATAGAAAATAAATCTATTAAAGTGATAAGTGTTATAGGTAATAAAAACCAAAACAACAACTAATTTTACATGTGAACTCTACTTTGAATTTTAACTTGGCTCAAATGAAGAAAACAATTATAGGTAAGCATAAATCAGAAGGTGTGCATTATATTAATCTGTTACAGCTGAGAAATTCCAAAACAGCAAGCACAATATATTCTATGGGGAATTTTATCACTGCACAATTTGGGACCACAAGCAAAGTTCTTGGCAGTGTCTAATCTACCAAGTTTCTTATTATTTTTGCTACCAATGATTTCAATTTTTCTCTTAAAACAGCAAAACATTAATTGTTATCAAGCTTTAAAAAACTGCATCCACACTTACAAATTTATGTCTTTCAAATCCCTCCTGTCAAAATTAACAAAACACCTTGTATTCTCCAGGCCCCTCGGCCTTCCTCTCATTTTCTCGCCATAGTCAGCTTCCTTAAGGGAAGAGTCTACACTTGCCATTTTTTCCTCCTGTATTGCTTATTCACTACTCATGTAATTGGTGGTTCTGCTTCCATGACTCCAGAGAAACTGCTCTTATGCTCATTGGCACTGCCCACTTGTGAAAATCCCTTCCTTCCTGTTGGCTTTTATGACATGAGCTCTCTTGGCTTCTTCCTATTATTCTGACCACCCCTGTTCAGTTCCTCACTCCCTGTCTTCCTTTGCAAATGTTCTAATATTGGTCAACACCAGGTTCTATCCTTAACTTATTTCTCCTTCCACAGTATACGTTCTCTCTAGATACATTGCATTTTTATGTACCTCAATGTTGAGGAATCCCAAATACATGTCTTCAGTCTAGATCCTTCTTCTGAGCTTTAGATATGGAAATCAAACCAGCACCTAAACTTCTCCATTTGGAATTAACAGAGGAATTAACAGAGGCACTTCACACTATCTTCTCCATTCTGGCCTCTATCTTCCAAACTTCATCTTATTCTAATGGCTCCTCAATAGCTTTTACAAATTCTACATGGCTTATTGGTACCCATTACAGGATCTTCCTTTGTTATAGCTAATTAGTCACCATGTCCCAATGATCTCACATCCTAAGTATTTCCAGGATCTATCCCCCTTCCTTTCCCTTCCCTGTAACTCTACCTGAGCCTCTCTAACCTCATCACCCAGGATGATCCAAATGCACTCCATAGGCCAGAACCAATTACAGCCCGCAGAAGGTATCTCATTTTCTTCCAGGCTTTTCCATATCTCCTGTACCTGGAAAAGTTTTCTCCACTCTGTCTGCTTAGCCCAATTCCTAACTTATATATCATCAGAGAAATCATCTTTGACCACCCCTGTCCTACTCCCTGCCTGACACTAGGTGCCTTTCCCCTGCTGTACTCTGGGCATCCCTCTCTCCTTCCAGCTATCATTAAATACACACACCAGTATTTCTCTCTTCAAATTTTAAGCTGAATGAGCAATGGTTATGGAAGGCAACTTAGAATTCTTGATACACGTCTACTGCTCTTGAATCTTTTCTAAAGTTTCTAGTGTCTAACCAGAAAATTATTTAAACTTACTGAAAAAATGCTGGGAGAGTAGTGACAAAGAAGCGGCCACTTAAACCTACAAGGGGCACAAACAAAAAAAGTTACAAGTCAAACTCAGACTACCCCAAGCACCTAACTTACATTGTAAGAATAAGCAGCCTTGAGCTTGTTTTCATAGCCATGTAATTAAAATCATTTCAGTTATTTAATCACATTTACTAGTTTTTTTGTTTTTGTTTGTTTTTTGTTTTTTGGGTTTTTTTTTTACTTAAAGATATCTTATTTTTATCCATTTTTATTTACCTACCACTTTCTGATGACTGACAGACAATGTGCTTATCTTTGATGTGTTACACTAAAGTTTTCTGGCTTGTGCATTGCTTGGAACTGTATGGTGGCTGAAAGGATAGATTTTAGAGTCATGCAATCTGGGTTAAATACTAAATTCTCCAGTTACTAGCTTTGTGACCTTAGATAAATTACTTAACCTTTCTGTGAAATGGGTATATGAAAGCCTGACTGAATTGTTCTGAAGTTAAGGTAAGTATATTAAGTGCTTAGCACATATTAAATAGAATAGCACATAATTAAAAATAGTACATATTAAATATAAATTATAGATATCAAATCAATTATAGGTTTAAAAACAACAAAGAATATGAAATTATAAGGTCATTATAATTTTTGCACATTTATAAAATTTGTAATTCCTGTCAAGGAACTCTGTGTACTTTAATGGATTGTTTCAATTTGTCTTAGCAAACCCTTACAAAACGATAACCACATATCAAATGCTTTCCTAGGTACATGTGAAAATAAAGATAAATAAAACCCTTCGTCACTGATCCAATATTTACTAGGCATCTTCTTTGTTTCAGGGACTGTAATAATGGCTCAAGACACATAGATAAGGAAGAACAGAGTTTGACATAGACTGTTCTGCCACAGTCTAGTGGCAGAGGGATAGAATTTAATCAGGTAATCACGACCAGAAACAGAGATGCATGATATGAAGGAAAGGGGCATACAACAAAAACTTGCATGAGACTAGGAGTAAAGAACAGATAGATCCCTGCCCTTTAAATGTTCACCAATAAATAATGTTGATGTGGGCACCACAAGAGAGTAAGCCCAGTTCTGGCAAAGAGAAAGCTAAAGGACCCCGCTGGCCAGCATGGTAAGCTGGCAGAGACAGCATTTCCTCATTTCTCACCACTTCTGCCTTTCCCACTGAAGGACAGTCTGGACAAAATCAAATGCCTATTTAAATAATGTGGCTCAAATGTTACATCTCTGGGATAACTTGCAGTTTGAAACACAGAAGGTTTATTTTTAACAACAAGGGATATTTGTCGATACCTACTTTATAAACTAAATCTATACTCAGCAAAATAATTTATTCATTAATGATGAGTCTTCCCAAAGAAGGGTTCTCTGTTTTTTCTCATACCAAGCCAAGCAATTCTAAAACACTCCCTATGGCACTCAAAAGCAAACACAGTATTCTGAAGGCAGTAAAAGTCAATGTTACAAAAAGAAACATAAACTTCATACATTTATCCCTGTACCTTTTTTTTTTAAAGGTTGTACTGGCAGTAACAGAACTCTAACAAGCGTCTGTGTCAACAGGGCATTCTCACCTGTAACAAGCTTGGAACTCCCTCTATCAAGGAGAAAAGGCTTTTTTTTAGTAGAGTTCCAAATCTAAATTGCCAAGGAAAAAGTACTGGTAATCCTAAAGACCTGAAGATTATTATATGTTTTGCTTATTACAAAGTTTCATATTTCAATTCTTCCCTAGCTACAGATTGTTTTGACTGCTCCAAACTTTGTACAAGCGGAGTCACAGTGTTAGGGAATTATGCTTTATTAACATGGCCTTTAAAATGGAATGCATAAACAAATTAGTATCCCATCACTACTTCAAGTTTTTTTTTTTTTTTTTTATCAGAAGAAATAGATAGGATTTCTAACAAATGTCAGGCATCACTGAAGGCAATATTTTTTACTTGTTCTTTAAAATCCTTCATACATTCTTGGTCATCATTGGCCATGGCGATAAATTAAAAGTAAACAAATATAAGAAATATTTCATAAAACACATTAACTTACACAGTATTTATAAACAGTATTTCCAGATTCACAGGCCAGCTTGCCTGAAGTCAAATCCCACTTCTGGTTCTTATTAGTTTTAATCTGGGGCAGTAAATTTAAACCATCAGTTTTCACATAAATGGATATCATTATTTCTATCTCAGTATTTTTTAGTATTAAATGATTTCTTATTTATAAAGCAAACAGAATGCAGTGTTTGACATAGAATAAGTACTAAATACATCCGAACTAATATGCTGTATATTTAAATCTCTGATTAAAAGCTAGGATAAAATAGGATGTAAGAAACTAACTTAATGTTAAGTGCTTTGGAAATCAGACACTATTTTGGCTAACGTGTCTTTACAAATAAATGTGCCCATGAAAAAACACAATAGAGAAAATAATGACAGATAGTCTCTGAGAATTTTCTGCATTTTTCTGGTTCAGGCTAGAAGGATGCTCATCCCCAAAATTCCTAGAATAAAGGGTATAAGAACTTTATGGCTCTTGATATGAATTGCTGTGCTGTTTTCCAGAACTACTGTACCAATTTATAAGACCATCAGTTAAGGCTTATTTAAAATAAAGATCCTTTTTGGGACGCCTGGGTGGCTTGGTTGGTTGAGCATCAGACTGCAGCTCAGGTCATGATCAGGTCATGATCTCATGGGCTTTGAGCCCTGTGTCAGGCTCTGTGCTGATATCTCAGAGCTTGAAGCCTGCTTCCAATTCTGGGTCTCCCTCTCTCTCTGCCCTTCCCCCTACGTGCATGTGCGTGCTCTCTCTGTCTCTCCCTCTCTTCCTCTCAAAATTAAATAAACACTTAAAAAATTAAAATAAAGATCATTATTAATAAATTGTCAACCTCAAAACTTTCATTTATGTTTCTCTGTAAGTATTCCTTTAAATTAAAACCCATGCAGGATACTAATAATAAAATCATAGCTCCTAACTGAGATATGAGTTCAGTCTGCTGTCTGGGATAATATACCGTCACTGAGGCTGTATTCAGGACAATCAACAACAAAATCAAGAACAATTAATGTAGCCCTGAGATTATGACACATCACTAACTCCTTGAAGATCTGACACCATAGGATAATCACTTCAAATAAATGACATTTCTGAGAGGTTAACAATGTCAGAAAGCTTTGGGTTTCATGTCAGTGCTCCAAAATGTCTTCTAACCTTTAGTATTGATACCATCAAGTATCAAGGGAACCTTTCATTACCTGAAAAGTTAAAACATGACCACCCTGGAACGGAGAAGTACCATCTGAGGTTGTGAACTTCAAGCTTTAACAACAAGTAAAGTGTGGATCTTAACAAAGGATTACAACAACAGATCAGCAGCTCATTTCAAAGTCTGCATAATGATTCACTGCAACAAACTTCAGAAAGTGTAAAAGAAACAAGTGTACTCTAAACCTTTAACTAAAGGAGATAAAGGTTGGTCACAAGGTCTGCCAACATTTCTGCATGTCTTTTTTACTTTAAGGGAAATTTCCCCTTTAAATGAAGATTTATTGCAACATAAAAGAGGCATTAATCCAAAATTCAGGAAAAATTTTAATTTCTTCTTAGCAAGCTTATCTTAAACGTGAAAGCTTATCTTAAAGAAAAAAAGAATTAAAAGATTATAGAAAGAAAAACTACATCAGGGAACTATATTTTGATATGCAAAAACACAATAGAAATTATTTAAGTTAAATATTTAAAAAATGGAGATAGCTACCAGCTTTTGTTCTACCATTATTAGCTGTGCTACTTTGGGCATGTTATTTAACCTCTCTGAGCCTCAGGTTTCTTAGTAATATAGAGATAAATAGTTCTCTCTAGAGTTGTTATGAACCTAAAATGTATATAAGTGCCTAACAATTATAGGTTGAAGTAAATGCTTAACTAAATGTTAGTTATTATCACCAAAAGAGTAGCAGAAGGAAAGCAATAAAAACAAAACAAACAAAAAAAAAGAACTAGCCTTACCTTTGAGACGGAAATAAAGTTGTCAATATAACAGAATACAAAAGACTAATTTTTATAATTACCAAATTAAAATATGAACATTAACTGAAACACAGTTAACTAACAGCTTTTGCTGTTAGTGACTTAAACATAATGCTTATTCTTGACCGTGGTGGGAGTCTGGTTTACCTCTAGTCTAGTGAAAAACCATCACCCATGGGTGCTCTATGAGCAGCTACTGTTTTCCTGTCCTTGACAACTAAGCTCATCTGCCTGGAACAGAAGTTTCAAGTACATACTCACTACACTGACTTTCCCAAAGAGCATGCAACTGAAATACCTATTGCCTGCCCTATGTAGTATTACACAGACAATGTAATCTGATCTAATCTAAGGCCTTTCCTTTCCTTGACTTCTACATCTCAGCTGTAAAATGCAATGTGTTTATAATCCCCAATCTTGATAATTCTGAAATCTTATTTTCTGTTCAAAATACCTACAAAAAAAATCTCTTGTGAGATATACCCCTGGAAGAGTTACAGGCATGACTAAACGCACACATAAACACTTCAGAAATTCTTGCTTTCACTTCTTTTTAAATTTTATTTGCAAAGAAAAGAAATGAAATTATGCCTTACTAGCAGTGTTGGCAAGGCAGCCCTGATGAAAGTATATACCAATGGAGATTTGTGACCAAACACCAATCTGTATACGGAAATATCCAGAGGTGCCTGGGTGGCTCAGCCAGTTAAGCATCTGACTTCAGCTCAAGTCATGATCTCACAGTGGTGAGTTCAAGCCCCACATCAGGTGAGCCTGAGCCCCACTTTTCTCTCTCTCATGGGATTCTCCTTCTCATGGGATTCTCTCTCTCTCCTTCTCTCGCTCTGCCCCTGGCTCACTTGTGCCCTCTCTGTCTCTGGAAAAAAAGAAATCTAGTAAAATGTTCAAATTGGGGAAGTGTATTCAGGATGTTAGACTTTGTAAAAATGAAGTAAATAGCCAAAGAACTTTCAAGAATAGGGTCAAGCTGCCCTGGAGGTCTGCCAATGAGTCAGTACAACCTAAGCCATGTCTCTCTTCATTTGGCTTCCAGGACCCCCTACTCCTCCAGCTCCTTCCTACCTCACCTGCTTCTCTTTTTCCTCTGTTGGAACTAGCTCTTTCCTTCTACATGTTAGACTTCCCTGGTTCCCAATCCCCAAAACACTTCTCTGGCACACCCTCCCTAGGCGATCTCAATTCTTCCCCTTCTTTTAAATACCATATACAGTGATGATCCTCAAATGTATATCTCTAGCTCAGCTGTATTTGGTTTTCTATTGAACATCTTAAACTTCAACCCTTTGGTCTTCTCCATCTTCTTTCTTTCCATCAAATGCTACAGCCAATCTATAAAGAAATCCTTTTGGATATTCCAGCCAAATGTAGTATCTCAACTCCAATCACTCATCACTGCTGCTGCTTGTCCGAGCCACCATTATCTCCACTTGGGACTACTACATTAACCTCTTAACTTGTTTCCGCTTCTGACTTCCTACAGACAAGTTTTCATGTAGCAGCCAAAGCAATTCTTTCAAAACATAAACCATATCATGTCACTCCCCTACACAAAACCTTCCAGTAGCTTCCTTCCTATCATACTAATATCTAAATTCCTTGTCATGGCCAAGAACACCCTGCATGGTCTGGTCCCTAGCTACCCCTCCAGTTCTGTTTATCTTGAGTATCTCACTGGCTATCATATGGTTCCTCAAATAAGCCAAATACACCCCTGCCTGCACATGCCATTTGCTCTGCCTGGAATGCTCCTCCTCTATGGCTTGTTGAAATTCACTTTCTCAATTTGTCAAGACATCTAGTCAAACAGTCCTTCCCTGCACATCCTATATAAAAGAGTGGCTCTCACAATTTTTTACATTTTTATCCTGCTTTCTTTTTCTTCAAGTCCTTACTGCCACCAGACATTAGTTTCCATTTTACTCTCATTACTATTTATCTCCTTCACTAAAATGTAAATTCCATGGGCAGCCAGGTCTTTATATTCCTTATTTACTTGTATCATTTATCTATATCACTGTCATCTAATTTTTATAATGTTTATTTATTGTTGAGAGAGAAAGAGAGTGAGCACACAAGTGGTGGAAGGGCAGGGAGAAAGAAGGAGACACAGAATGTGAAGAGCTCTGAGCTGTCAGCACAGAGCCCAATATGGGGCTCAAACTCATGAACCGTGAGATCATGACCAAAGTCAGATGCTTAACTGACTGAGCCATCTAGGCACCCCTGTATCACTGCCATCTAGAACAAGACCTGGTACATGGTAGAAACTCAAATATTTCTTGAATAAGTACATTATTCTGAAACCCTTTTAAAAGATTAATTGATAGCATTAGATTAAAAAAAAATTTAGAGAGAGAGTGTGCACACAAGCAGGGGAGGGGGTGGAGGGACAGAGAGAGGGAGAGAGGGAAAGAGAGAGAGAGAATCTTAAGCAGGCTCCATGCTCATTGCAGAGACTGAAGCGAGGCTCAATTCCACGACGCTGGGGTCATGACCTGAGCCGAAATCAAGAGCTGGCCACTCAACCAACTGAGCCACCCAGGGGCCCTAACAGCATTAGATTTAATAAAGTATAAAATAAAATAGTATAATCTGAAGTGAAATATTCTTTAGGCCACTCAATCATGTGTGTGGAATTTTGTCTCATAATTTTTATTTATGAGTTACAGTTTTTAAATTTTTACTATTTAAAATAATTCTAGAACTTATACTTTAAAACTTGTTTTAATACATAAAACAATCATTTTTTCCTTTTTTTTGGACTTTGTTTCTTCGCTATTCCTAAAGAATACTGGACCAAAGACTTTTTTCCTTCTTCTTTGATAAATATTTCAAATATATATAATTTACATTTACATAAATAGTATGAGTCAATGATAAATTTGTTTTTAAAATATTTCATTATAATAGATTTCTCTCTACCTTATCAAAAAAGCACTCAATCCATTCACACTGGAAATAGTAGCTGTAAATCTACATTTTAGATGGAAAGACTATATTCAGTTAACCTTTAGATTTGTGAATCCATCACAAAGTTAATTGTTTAATTCTTTTAACTCAAATCATGCTGTGAATTCACGGCAGGTACACCAAACGACTGAAATGTGAATAGGCCAGCTGCATTTCCAAGAAACACATCATCAAATGTATCTCCTGCCCACTAATTAGCAAGGCTTACACCTGATTTCACTGGACTCAAACTACTAAAAGACAAAAACAAGTTTACAGCAAAAATGTAATTGTAATGACATGACTTCCAAATGGAATAACTCATTCTAATAGCCCAAACCATGAACAGTAAGTATAATTGTCCAGCTCTAAATAGCAGATGGGCAGAAATGGATTTGATTCAAATGATTAAAAAGGTGGAGGCTTGAGAAGTAATGACTTTAACAGAAATCTCTCTCCAGGGGTTTGTCAACACATTCATCTTAACAGACACCATCAGTTTTCCTGTCCAAGTAATTGGTAATTCATTACTTTGTGTTTTTGCACTCACAGTTGTTTCAGAAAAGTAATTGCTACACCTCCATGCCTACCTTCTTTTTTCCCTTGTAAAGGGAAGAGAGAGACAGAGTATGCACAAGCATTGGGGGAGGGGCAGAGACAGAGAGAGAGAATCTCAAGCAGGCTCTGTTCACAGTGCAGAGTCCGACTTGGGGCTCGATCTCATGACGCTGGAATGATGACCTGAGCCAAAATCAAGAATCGGCAGCTCAACCGACTGAGCCACTCAGGAAACCCTTACACAGTTATTTTTAAACTACAAATACTACTTGTGTGTATCTTTTCAGAATTTAAAAGTTTCCTCTATTTCTCTCTTTCTTTTGAAAAATTATATCATTAACAGCTAATAAATGTAGATGAAACAACAGAATTAGAAATTCACCATTCTGGAACACACTGAAATATTTGGTTAGGGTAAGATCATCATTTGGTTCAGGTAAGATCATCAACGCCATGTATCACCCCATAGATTATATGCTAATCACAAAATGGGGTCTTTTCTTTACAATGGAGATGTTTAATGTCATCACCTTAAACAAGTGCTCAAACTCAACATCACTAACGTGTCTTAATATGTGTGATATTTGTCACACATATTTGTCTTTTGGTAGAATACAATTTAAGTCACAGGATCACCTATGAAGTACTCTTGGCCATAAATGTCTAACCTGAATCATGTCTCTAGACCAAAATTCAAGTTGCAGAAAATATAAGAATAAATTAAATGTTCCTACAGAGAAACACCTAGGCAAATCCCCAGCCTGTTCTCTTCAGAGTATCAATGTCATGAAAAAAAAATGGGGGACTATTTTCTAGAATGAGGGAGACTAAAAAGTATAGCTACCAAATTCAATTGGTGAACCTTGATTATACCCTGGTTCAAAATGGGAAATAATGAAAAAGATTTTAATATACTTAAGTACTGAAGGGTAAAGTATCATGATGTCTACAACTGATTTTCAAATGACTCAGCAAATTAATAACAATATAAAATATATATATGTCAACACCAGCATACATAGACAGACCCAGATATGTTAACATGTTATCTGTTGATTCTAGATGGTCAGTTCATGGGTATTCAATATCCTAGCCTTTCATCTTTTCTATATGTTTGAAAAAATTCAAAATAAAGGGGCGGCACCTTGGTGGCTCAGTTGGTTAAGCGTCCGACTTCAGTTCAGGTCATGATTTTGTGGCTCCTGAGTTTGAGCCCTGCGTCGGGCTCTGTGCTGACAGCTCCAAGCCCAGAATCTGCTTCAGATTCTGTGTCTCCCTCTCTCTCTGCCCTTCCCCGGCTCATGCTCTGTCTCTCTGTTTCTCTCTCTCTCTCTCTCTCTCAAAACTACATTTTAAAATAAATAAATACATTTAAATAAAAAATTCAAAATTAAAAGTAATAAGCTTTTGCATTTCATGTCCCACATGTACAGCACCTGGCTCTTGAATGACGTCCACTTTGCCCACACTGATTTGAAGTGTTTCACCGTTCCTTGCAAATGTCTCCCATTCTGAGTCAGTCTGCTGGCAGGACGGACACCAAGGGGCATAACTATAAAAGAAGAATAGCTCATCAATATCATCAACATATGAAAAAAATCTGTAAAACAAAATAGAGAAATAAGTTTTTAACTAAAGGGAAGCACAAGAGCAAGCTTTTCCAAAGACACTTGACATAGATAAACAGAAGCATATTTCCCTGCTAGAATCTAATGTATGAATATCAATTCCCCAGGAAAAACTTAGCCAAAGTTTAAGAATATTTTCACAAATTACTACAATACATAAGATATTTTATTTCAAAGTTATTCTTACAACGAACCCAAATTATACTACTTTCCAGATAGCTTATGATTTTTCAGGGTCAAACTATTTTGAGTGCCCCACTAATGGCAGACAATTTTCACAAGGGCCTCTTTAAACTAGGCAAACCAGTTGCAGACCCATCAATGTGAGATCCGATGGACAGAAGATGTATTGCCAGTGGGTGCCCCCAAATGCAAATCATTTCCAAAGATATGTGGCAGTCAGAAGCATTCTCAGAAAGTAGAAGCTATAGGCTAAGTTGGCTAAATGACACTTTCTTAAATAGAAGAGGAATTAGAAATAAACACTTGGGACTTCAACCAGAACTCTGTTTTTTTACATTATTTTTTTCATTCAACAAACATGATCTAAGCACCATTCTAGAAACTGAGGCCACAACCGTGAACAAGACAAACGTGGTACCTCCTTCCTCCTTGTGGACTGCATCACCCACAGATGAAAAGAGGTAAACATAGGGGTAATGACATTCCAAGTGGCAAATGCCATGACTCAATGTGGATGCTATGGGACACTCAGGAGCTGGGTGATCTCAGTGGACCCACAGAGAAAGGAGCATCCATGCTAAGATCTAAAGTAAGAGTAACGGGCAGAGAGGGCTCAGGGAATGTTCTAATCTAAGCAGAGAGAACAGTTAAGTGTGAAGGATCAGAGTACTGACAGGACAGGACAAAGGCATCATTCACAGCCTTTAAAAATGTTGTATGAGGAGTTAGGACTTTATTCAAAGCTCCATTACCTATACTCTAAAAAAGTGAGAATCATAACCAGATTTACATTTTTGGAAAAGTCACCTGGCAGCTCTTTGGATAATGGATCAGGGAAGGATAAGATGGAAGGAAGCAAACTGGAAGGTTAGGCTGTCATCCTGGCAATATGTTAAGGGCCTCGCTTTGTTCCTATGATCCTAGAAAACATCATAAATAGGTCATAAAGCTCTAACACAGCCAAGATTTTATATGCAGATGTTAAAATAGGAATCCAGAAAAGGTTCCTGTTTAGAAATATAGTGGATTTAACAGTGTCTCTTAAAAAGATATATCCAACTCCTAAGCCCCCATACCTATGCATATGATCTTATTTGGAATAAGGGTCATTATACATATAATTAAATTAAGGATCTTGGGGTGTGACTATCCTGGATTTAGGATAGGTTCTCACAAGAGAAAGAAGAAGGAAGTGTGACACAGAGAAGAAGGAAGGCCATGTGAAAACATAGTCAGAGATGGGTGTTATGCAGCTACAGGCCAAGGGAAGCCACGCTGGCTACAAGAAGCTAGGAGAGGCATGGAACAGACAGTCTCACAGCGCCTCCAGAGGAAGCCACCTTGCCAACATTTTGATTTTGGAATTTGGGTCTCCAGAATTGTGAGAGAGTAAATTTCCATTGTTTTAAGCCACTAAGTTTGTAGTAATTTACAGTTGTCCAAGGAAACTAATACAGAAAGGAAGATAAAATTTGAAATAAGAAGAGATTGAGATCAAATATGCCTTATGAAGATTTTAAGAGTTGGTCAAGCTATGCTTATTATAAACTATTGGTAACAAACAGTAACATGTGCTGGAAATCCATTTTAAAGTACTAACATAGAACACAAGTAAAAGGAAAATATTTACAGAATAATATCACAAAAATACATTAGTACAAATGGAGAGATATTTTGTTTTGCTGAATAATACCCAGACGGAAAAAGCAGCAAATAAAATTAATCAATGCTCACAATGCTCACAATGCTCACAAAAAAATCACTGGACACTGAATATTTTGGGATGCCACCAACTAGGCATATTTTAAAAATCTGCTTAAATGGGGTGCCTGGGTGGCTCAGTTGGTTAAGCATCCAACTTTGGCTCAGGTCATGATCTCACAGTTTGTGACATTGAGCCCCATGTCAGGCTCTGTGCTGTCAGCTTGAAGCCTGGAGCCCACTTCAAATTCTATGTCTCTCTCTCTCTCTGCCCCTTCCCTGCTCGTTCTCTGTCTCTGTCTCTCTCTCAAAAATAAATAAACATTAAAATTTTTTTAAAAATCTGCTTAAATCTGTTTAAATTATACTTTAAAAATCCTCAACTCAAGTCAAAATACTGAGTGGATAAATGCAATAGGTATTTTTAAAAGACTTGATATCACTGATTGTTTACATACAATGGGTGAATATTAGAGTAGGTAAATTATTCCACCAAGGGGTAGAGGGCAGGAGATATAGACGAACCAAGATTGGCTGTATGTTGATACAACTGATAAATCTGGATGATGGATGATGAGGGTTCATTGTACTACCCCTATTTTTGTGTATTTTTTAAATTTTCCTAATAGTTTTTGTCGTCTTATTGAAGTATAACTGACATATAACATTACATCAGTTTCAGGTACAACATAATGATTAAATATATTTTTTAAAAGACTTGATTAAATGGAAAGATATGCCAAGTTCTGGATGGGCAGGCTCAGTATTGTGAAAATGTTGATTCTTACCCCCGATTTATTTTCCATTTTATTCCATTCCCGAACTATTTTTACAAAACAAGTATTATTTTTATGTTAGGAGAAGAAAGTGGTGGGGGAGAAAGAGAGGTAGGAAAGAATGTCTCCCAAAGAATGAGACAGGAACACCTGGGTGGCTCAGTCGGTTAAGCGTCTGACTTTGGCTCAGGTCATGATCTCACAGATCGTGAGTTCGAGGCCCGCGTCAGGCTCTGTGCTGATAGCTCAAAGCCTGGAGCCTGCTTGGGATTCTGTGTCTCCCTGTCTCTCTGCCCCTGTCTACCCACCTCTGTCTCTCTCTCTCAAAAATAAATAAACATTAAAAAAAAAAAAAAGAATAAGACAAACACACATGCACACACAGGGAAAAAATGTCTTAGGAAAGGAAATAAAGGGGAAAAAGTGTTAAATGATCAAATTCTGTAATAAGATTTGGCACAAAGGTGCTGTTAGGTCATCATTTACAAACCCTTTTATCTCAATCTGGGCGGAAGCATGCCTGTAAATGCCATGCAATACTCAATGCAATGATGCATACAAACCAACTTTCCTGAAAAACAGTAACAAACTGAAAGTGGGCACTATTTTGATCTTTCACATTATGAGGAGGTTACAGGGGGTTAAAAGTCAACATGATGGGTTGCATTTACTTCAAGACAAGTATTGAGATTAGGCCCAGCCCAGCAAGAGAAAGGGCTGTCCAAAGCAAGGCATGCATTTCTCTGTCCAGCCAGGCCCCTAGATGCAACCAGACTTAAGCACAATTTTTCACCCTCTCTAAGGATTGTTCATACTTCTCTAGAGGAGTAGAATAGCCAATTCCAAGATGATTCTAAAAGGTCATTAATCTTCTCATTACACCTCACTGTCTAGTCCCTGAGATCCCAGAGATACATGTGGACCAGAAGACATGATCCAAGAACAATCCACTGACATCTTTGAACATAGCTGATTTTAAACATGTGAATCTCTACATTTCCAGGGCATTGTATATACCTGGTGCAGTAAGTGCTCAATAAATATTTGCTGAATAAATAAATGAAAAAATTAAAAAACATATATAGTCTTTATTTGAGAAAAGTCATTTTCTACATATTTGAAAAACATTCAGGGGTGCCTGGGTGGCTTAGGTAAGTGTCCAACTTCAGCTCAGATCTTGTAGTTCTTGAGTTCTAGCCCCACGTCGGGCTCTGTACTAACAGCTTGGAGCCTGGAGCCTGCTTCAGATTCTGTGTTTCCTGCTCCCTCTGCTCCTCCCCTGCTTTTGTGCACAAGCTCTCTCTCTCTCTTTCCCTCTCTCTCTCTCTCTCAAAAATAAATAAATTTAGAAAAAACCCGTCATATGGCAGATGTTACTGGGACAAGCAGTTGGTAAACTTTAGGAAAAAAGAGGACATTTTATTATTAAGTATACTTTGACAGGCATTTCTGTGTATTAGATAAGAGTACTGCCAGAGGATTCAGCAAGACCAACCACAAATTAACCATGTGACTTTGGGCAGGCAGCTTAATACTCACTCCATGCCTCAGCTTCCTCAACTGCAAAATGGGATAATAACACCAGCTACCTCAGAAGGTTGTTGGGAGATTAGATGACTTATATAAAACAGGTACATGTTAAGAACAATTATTAATACCAATTACATTTCTAATACACTGTTTGGTTTCCAAGACACTTTTATGATACATTAGCTCATCTGAACCTTACAACCTCACTGTCAAACAGACAATGCAGATTTAAAGGACCTAGCTTAAGGTCACCTAAGACCACACAGAGTAAGAACCCAGATGGAGCATTTAGTTTTTGTTTTGTTTTTTGAGGGGGGGGGGGTGCTTCAGGGGAAGAGGGAGAAAGAATCTCAAGGAGCCTCCATGCCTAGCACAAAGCCTGACTGGGGCTTGTTCTCATATCCATGAGATCATGACCTGAGCCAAAATCAAGAGTCAGATGCTCAACCAACTGAGCCACCCAGGCTCCCCCACATCTTTTTTTTTTTTTTTTTTTTTTTTTTTTTTACATACCAGTCCCTAGTCTCTAGACAGGCTATTATATAAAGTGGGATTTGGGTAACATTGATCCCTAGATATAAAAATGCCACTGAGGTTATTTTAGATATTCCATTTTTTATGTAGCTGCTACCCACTGGAGACTGAGGGACTATGAATGCCACTATTTCTGAGATTTAATCAGAGCTATTTGTGTTGGAGTGCACCAACATCATTCATTAACTTAGTGCATTCTT